CGGTTCCTGAAGCAGGGCAGAAATAAATAAAGGTTAGGGACGTCTCGGGCAGTTATCGCCGCGTTGAATCCCTTCGTCTGCCGGAACGATCTCCCATCGGTTATAATAACCGGCGGCAATCGATAGTCAAAGTTGGGCTCCGGAAAGCGATAGAGCGCCCGCCCATGCCCTCCGCTTGTTGTGCAGCACTCGCGGCGCGCGCGCGCCGCGGTGTTGACCAACGACCGTGCCACTGGAGGCTCCCACGCCACTCGCGGCGATCCGCATCGAGGCCGCCCGTCGGCGCAGCAAAGGCACTGCGCACTTCTGGGCAGCGCCCAGAATGCAGGGAAGGCCTTGGCGCTTCTCGCCAGCCAGGCTGACTCGGCAACCGGCACGCGAGCCGACTGCGCGTCCCGAGCCCACGGATCGGCGCCGTCGCACAGGCCCGCCAGCCGCCGCACAGCTCCAGAGAGGCCACTGGCGTTGCGCTGCACTGCTTGAAGCTGATGTTGAGGCGCTGCACTGCTCAAAGCTGCCCCGTGCGCCGCCGCGAGCGCCGCGCCGTGGCCTCGTTCTCTGGCGAGCCCCAGCACGACCCCTCGCGGCCACTCGCGCCGTTGCAGCAGCTCCGACCCCGCCACTCCGGCTCCCGAGCGCGCGACGAGCACGAGGAAGAGCATGTGCATGGGCCAAAATCAGTTACTCAGACTCTCAGTCTCTTTTCTTTCTTTCTTTCATCGACAGCTCTGACGTGCGCCTCACCACTGACGGGAAGGCCGCCAAGTGGGGCCAGCACAGGTCGCACATTGTGGCAGCAGTCAGCAGTGCATGTCTGATAGCTAGAGCAGCAGCGTCAGGCTCACCGGATCGTGTCAAGCCTCTCGCCCGGCCGGCCGCGTGCAGACGTCGGCCTGTCTGCTGTAGTCTGGAGTGATCAGTCGGCGGTCAGTACGTAGGTGCGACCGATCAGGTCGGAGTTTTCTTATCACTTTCGGTGGAGGGTCTATCTCTGAATCTGTGTGTACTCCTCTGGGGGGTGGCGGGGGCCCCCGGAGGCACCGAGCGCCGCGCAGCAGTGTGCGGAAACGGGGCTCCGGCTCCACTAGTCGTCTCCACTAGCACCGACGACTTCCCGATTAATAACGGTTATCTTAAATAGAGGGCAGATTTGGAGAGATCTCGAGGAGTACATACAGATAGACCCTCCAATCTGCAATCATCAGAGAAACCTCCAACCTGATCGGTCGTACACCGCACACTCTGACCGGCGTGTGCGGTGTGGGCCTCTTCAGGTGTGGGCCCATGGGGGTGTGGGGGCCGGGGGCCCCCGCGCCCCCCCAGAGGGGCAGATCCTCGTGGCTAGGACCTAGAGAGCGGCTAGAGGACGTCCTGCGCGGTGTGAGGTGCGTGGGAGGACCGCGGTCCGCGCACGCGCCGCCTTGCAAAACGGCCAACGCTCACCCGCCACCACAGCCTGTGACTTCAACAGCGCCGGCCAGTGACTTGTGATGCTATTGACTGCGACGTCCGATACCGTTGTCAAAAGACACCCACTCACTCTCTCCCCGCGTCAAAAGCTAAGGTCCGGCTCCACCGCAGGCAGCCGTGAGCCGCCGAGCCAAGCATCGAGCATGCGCATCTTTGCGCGCAGCTCGGCGATCGCCTCGAAGGCCGCCTCGTCCTGCGGCGCCGGCGGCTCCGTCGGGATGGTGGCGGCCGCCTCGTTCAGCAGCCGAGATATCCTGCGGCGAGCCGGCACGACGCGGTGGGGCGACGCCACGCGGGAAGGGGAGAGAGCTGCGTTGGTGCGCTCGCCTCTCTGGCAAGTGCCGTGGCGCCGGCCCTGCAGCGACGAGCGCGTTCAGCATGTCGATGCGCCCGCGGAATCGGCCGAGCTCTCGCCCCAACTCGCGCCCACGGTCGCAGCCGAGCCGCCTCCCGTCGTCCTGGCCGCTCGCCGCGCCGCGGACGGTCCCCTCTGCGTAGCCGGCGGCGAGGAAGTGCTCCTCAAGCCCGAGCGCGCCGTCGAAGGCGGCGTCGATGTCGTCGATCGCCGCTGCGGCTCGCGCCGCCATCGCGTTCAGGCCGGAGCTCCTCTCACGACACTGGGCTGGACTGACACCTCTCGTAGGGTCGGGGAAGAAAAACGCCGGCCAAAGTGCTAAAATTGGACAAAGGACAAGAAGTGTCAAAGGACAAGACGTGCTTTTAAACGCGGGGCAAAGTGCTAGAAGTGGCCGCGATGCGCCCCCTCCCCCTCGCCCTTGCAAAATCCTGCAAAGGTGGGGACGTGTCTGTCCTCGACCCAGCCCTAGCTTGGATGTCCATTTTATTTATTTATTTATTGGCCGTGGATGTGAGGTTAATGACCGCACTCCAGCCCGAGCGCCGTCGACCGCACCGACTACGGCACAGCCTCCGGCAGCGCCCGGGGCTTCGCCCAGCACCACTCGCAACAGCTCTCGCGCGCCGCCGTCTGTGGCGACGCGCAAAACATCAACAACGCTGCTCGCAACATGCGTGTCGCGCACTCATTCATGACCGGTCTCAATGTCCCACCCCCCTGCGCGCGGGCCTTCTCGTAGGCCCGCGGGTAGTCTCACCCCATCCCCAGGGCCGCCTCCAGGGCTCGCACTCAACCTCTCACAGACCAGCGCACAGCGCCATAGGAGGTATATTCTTCTCAATAACAAGGCTGTGAAAAAGTGAGGCGTGGACGTACTCGCCAGCCCAGGGTTCCGGCTCCTACCCAGCCAGAGCAGACAGGGGGTCTGTTGACCATGACTCGCACCAAAACGCCCTACCTACCTACCTATTGCGGGCGCCAACCGCCAGGCTCCGTGCCCCACCTACCTACCTATTTCCCAGGCCGCGCAGCGAAGTGAAAAAATACCCGTTAGCCCTCTGTCTGTCCCGGGCGCGTTCGCCGGCGCTGCCGTCCCGGGCGCCGCCACCGCGGGCGCCGCCGCTGCACCCGTCTCGGCTGGCGTCCCAGCCGCAGGCGACTCGTCTGGCATGGCCCCGTTCGCGGCTAAACGCGCCGTCTCCCGCGCGAGCACTTGGAGCACTTGGGGTGCAGTCATTAACCGAGCACTTGGAGCGAGCGAAGCCTTTTTTTACCCCCCCCCCACCCACCCACCAACCTCCTATTGCGGGGCCCTCTGGGGCGGTCAAATCGGTCCTACCTACCTATCGCATAATACGAGCGTCACTTTGTACCCACCCCCCCTAGTTCGTGGGGACCCCCCCGCCGGTCGGTGGTCTGCCCCCGAGGTGGACCGGACCCCCCCTCCGGTCGGTCGCTCTCTCGGCGGCGGGAGGTGTGACGACCGACCCCCCCCTCGGTCGGTGTCCTTGCCGTGAGCCCCCTCAAACGCTCTCCCTCCTTCTCGCGAACCGCCACGGGCGCTTCGAAATCGCCGATTTTCACTATGAAAACCAGTCACGCAGCCAAGCGCCAAGGAGACTCTTCGCCGAGGCCCGAGCGAGCCCGACCGCACACATATGTGGAGCATCTACGCAGTCGCAGGCCTGGTCCTGCTTGCCGTCGCTTTGTACAAGCTCTGGCAGCGCTCCAGTTCTCCACAGTACGCGCGCATCGTCAACGGGTACAGTGTGTCGCCGACGAAGCTAATCATGGACGACGACGACGAGAGCGTGGACATGGACGAGCTCGTGTTCCGACCCAATCCTGTAGAGCGTCTCGAGCTCAGCAACTGTCTCGGACGACGAGGAGTGATTAGACGGGGAGAGGTCGCTTGGTGTCTCTAGTATTTCGAGATACTAATTTATTCACAGCTGCGGCGAGCGTGTGCGGTGTGACCCTCGAGCCAACCCGACCGACCCCCCCCTCGGTCTGCGCTCCGACCGACCGGACCCCCCCTCCGGTCTGCGGTCCTCCGCGGCCGTCGACCGGACCCCCCCTGCGGTCGGTCGGTCTGCGCTGGGCGCTCAAACCGCGAACTCGGCCTGTTCACTACAAGATGACGCTCGTATAAGGTCTAACCGTGGAAACAGACCCCCCGTCTGGGTAGGAGCCGGAACCCAGAGGTAGTGGTCTGCAATCGCGGCCCCGCTCCTCCGTCTCTTTGCTTCTACACGTGACCACTTTTCGAAGACCTGTGATGCCCACGCTGCTGCTGGACGTCGTTGTCGACGAGCTCCTCACGCTGATCGCCGGCTTCCTGCCTGCCCACTCCGTGTGCGCTGCACGAGCCACCTGCCAGCGCCTGCTCCGAATCGCCAGCTCTGACCAGTTGTGGCGGCCGCTTGCGCTTTGGCTTCCAGGAATGGGCGCTGCTTATGCTACAGCAGCACCGGCTGATCCGGTGCCGTGGCGCGCCATCCTCGCGTCGTGGACGGCCTCGCACGTGGCGCACGCAGTCGACGCGGCGGCCGAGCGGCTGCAGGCCGACGGCAAGCGCGCACACAGCAGCCAGCGGCTTACGCAGGCGCGCCTAAGGCAGACACTGCAGCGGGCAGAGTCGGCGCGTACCGTGCGCGAAAGGCGTAGCGGCGAGCGGCAGCGCCTCCTTGCCGCGCATGCCGCCTGGCGCGAAGAGACCCACCAGCCGAGCTGGAGGCTTCCACAGAGAGAGGCCGCGCCGCCGCCGTGCGCGCGCAGCATCGCCGACGCGCAGCGCGCGCTTGATGAGGCCGCCCGCCATGTGCTGGTGGCGGAGGCGTCGGTCCTCCGCACCAAGCAGGAACTGCGCGCGCTGATGGGCGACATCTCGAGGATCGACGGCCAGCGGCGCCAGCTGGTGATGGCCGCCTCGCAGGCGCACAACGTGGCGCGGCGGTGCGCGGCGCAGGTGCCGAGAGGGCTTGTCGCGGAAGCGGTCGGCCACCGCGGCCGCTGCTGGCCGGTGACTCATCAGGGCGGGGGGAGCTCGTCCTCGGACCCACGAGCCATGTGACAACTGACAATTTAGAGAGGGGTCGCGGGTAGCGTTACTTTGGTGTCGGAGCCATGGTCGGAGCACGGGTGAAAAAGGAGCGCCGCCGCCCGGGAAAAAGCAAAATACATTAGCTATAACACACCTATATCGAGATATATCGTTGTGGGGTATCATCAGAAGAGACGCGAAGAGCGACGTCAGGGACGCTGCGGTCAGAGTGCGTGAGAGACGGACGGACTTATCCCCAGGACTCTCGACGGGTCTCCGATGGCCGCTTGGAAGTTCATCATGATGACTGCGCAGGGAAGGGCCCGTTCTCTCCTGGTTCTCTCGCATCGCGTCATGCTGTGTCGCGTCACGATCTGCTGGGGCGAATTCTTCTCTACCTCGGGCGCTGCTTCCGCTCATCGATCAGGTTGCCCTCCTCGTCACGCACAAACGGATTCTTTCTCGCCCGCTTCAGTTCATGAACCGGTTCAGCGCGCCGCCGCTCGGCCTCAGTCATCCGCTCGCCTACGGCGGGCTGCGCACGAATGAAGGCAAGTCCCAATGGCGGCTCTCGACCGTTCAAGTGGTGGGCACGTGGTCGAGACGGAGGCTGCAGCAGAGCCTCCTCACCCGGCTCCGCAAGGCGAAGGCCTTGCACTCCCACTCGCATCGCGGAACGAGGCCGCGCTGTGAGCCCGCCGACTGTGAGCCCGCCGAGCGACACTGCGGGCGCAATGAAGGCGAAGAGCATAAGGGCTCGCATTGCGTGGTGGCCACCACTCTTTACGACGAACTCGAGTCGAGTCGTCGTGGGCTTCGATGCCTAGTGCTTCGATGCGAGTCCCCAGCTGCAGCAAGTGTGTACTTTTTTTGCTTGCTACCTACCTACCTCTAGCCTCGCATGTCACTTCCTGTCGTCTGTTGTGTCGTTGTGCCCTTGTTTGTTTCTCTTGGCACCGTGGAGTGCTGGGGGGGGCGACAGGGAGGATATGGCCTTGAGTTATGTGTAAGCCGACTCAGGGTGTGTGGCAGCCCGCTGGCTGTGTGTCTTGTGAGCTTGTTTGTGTCTGTGTGTCGCTCGTGCGTGTCGTCATCATCTGTCTAGCGTCCACCCATACCGCGTTGGTGTCCAGTCCGAGCCTGGCTGTTCTTCACCTTTCTACCTACCTACCTACCTACCTACCTACCTACCTACCTTACTTATGGGAACCGACTTACCTACCTACCTACCTACCTTACTTATGGGAACCGACTTACCTACCTACCTACCTACCTTACTTATGGGAAACTAAAAAAGAATCACTGGATTGAAGGACTGAAGGTGGGGTACTATACCAACTAACAAAAAAACCAACTAGAGTGATGGTTGGTGGTACTCTCCTGCAACCACAGTCCTTCTTGTGACATGGCAGGCCACTCTCAAGCCCTACCAGCTTCAGATCACCCATTTGGGGAGGATCGACATCGTGATTTCCGGAAAATTTCTTTTTTTGAAAATTCCAGCTTGAAGAGAGGGAAACCCCCGACGGGAGGGCCCAGACCTACCCTACCTACCCCGTCATGAGTGCCGCCCAAGCAAAAAAAGTACACTTGCGGGCATTATTTTGTTTTGCTGCTCTCGATTTGCGCGGGTCCCCAGGTCTCCTCCAGGGCGCGAGCTGCGTTGTCGGCGTTTGTTGGTGGCGGGTGGTGTTTGTCAATGACGCCGTTAATGCTGCTCCTAACGACTACCTCCTTCTCCGTAACCACCGCGCACTCGTTACCGGCGCGTACGACGCCGCCTGGTGTACCACATGGAGCCATCGCCTATCGCACGCAGAGGCCTCGATCGCCCTCACCAACCTTGGTGGCTGTCGAGCTCGAGCAGGCAACCGCCGACCGGCTGCGACAGCTTGGGTTGGTTGGAAACTACGACAACATCTGGCTCGACACTGCAGTCACCGCCGAAAAGCCACTGAGCGAGACGCTTCCTGAGGGCGCGAACCGGATCGTCGAGAGCGGCAGGGGAACGCTCTCCGTCGGAGGCGAGACGTACCCGCTCAAGAAAGATACGGTCATCACCGTCGTTGACGGCCCCGCCGAGATGGTCTGGTCGGCGAGCGGAGACGAGGAGCTGGTGCTGCTGCTGAGCGAGTACTGGTCACCACCGCGAGTCTTTGCTCGGACTTTTGCTGCCCCGATCTGGGCATTGATGGGACTCTCCGTCTTTGCGGGCAACTTCCTGTCCGGCGGCGGGTGAGGCTGAGAGTGATCATCTAGAAAGAGAGGCGCGTGCTCGGGCGCCCGCGGCGATCAAGAGCGGCGCGGCGGGAAAAACTAACTCGCTCGTTGTCCCTGACTCGTACAGGGCGGGGACCTGTTCCTTTTTACCCATCTCCAGAGGTGTCCGTTTTATTTGTTTATTATTTATTGACTCGTTCTCAAACAGAAGTCAGAACGATGAACGTAAACAGACAAGGCGCTGCGCTAAAGGGTGTGGATGCTGGGTTGAACAAAATCGAGGGACGCGACCCACTTCGCCACAGACGGCCCCGCGCCTCGCCGCTATGACGGGCACACGCCCCGCACCGTCCGCTGTGTGCCCGTCTTTGTCCGGAGTGAAAAGTCCAACGCGCTCGTCGGTGGCGGCTTCCCTCAACCTGCGCCGCGCTCGGCGAACCTCGACAGCGCTTTCGGTGGCATGCAGCTCTTTGCGACAGATTCCTGGAGAGCAGCTCCTCTGCTGCTCACACACTCTGCACAGCTGACACAGCCTACTGTGCGGCTGCCACAGCTGTGACAGCGATGGGCTCGCCCTCACTGGCCCTCAGTCACTTGTGCTGCGGCTTGTGTGAGCGACACTGCTCGGCGACTGCCGGCACACTGTGAGACCATGGGTGTGAGGTGAAACCACGCTACCAGCGCTTGGTCACATCGGCCCCGAGGTCAGATCCATCTACTCTGTTGATGACAAGACTTGTCTACCGGCTGGAGCCGAGCAGGAGGGCTTGGCGCACAACCCCTGTTCAACTCACCCTCCACACCCCGTATATTTGCGTACTTCTCTCGCGGCTCGGCACAAAATTGAGCGATGAGAAGAGTCGGTCCGTTTTATCCGGTTGGTAGAAGAGAGGAGGCGCGCGACAAAGTCGAGAGACGAGCACACCGCCACACACACACATGAACCTGGGCCTCCCCGCTCTCTTCACTCTTGCTCTTGATGTTGACGCTTAACCCCTCCCAGCTCCCCCACAATTCCCCGCTGTGTGTGTGCGCAAGCGCATGCGCTGCGGCCGCAGCGCATGCGCACACATACTGGGGCGCACGGGATGGGGCGCACGAGGCCCACCGGCACCGCGCGGCATGTGGCTACTGCACGCACCAGGCGGGCCCGCGGTGGGCTGGCCACATTCTGCACGAGGCATGCTAGCAGATGGAGGGCTCCGCCCCCTCCCACGCGACCGCCGCGTCCTTCCACCGCGTACTCAGCACCGCCGCCAGCCCGCGCGGCTCGAGCGGCACTCCGCGCGCGCCGCCCGGCGTGAGCGACACGCGCGTCAGGCAGCGCTTGTGCTCGTGGCCACGCGACGAGAGGCCGTTATAATGGAAGAGCGTCACTATACCGCCGGCGGCAGCGGCGGCCGCTGCCGCGGCCGCCGCCGCCTCCTCCCGGACCGCCGCTTCCGCCGCCGCTCGCGCAGCCTCGGCGCCAACCACGGCGGCCGCTGCGGCTGCGGCGTCGGCGTCGGCGGTGGGCAGAGGCACGGCGGCCGCCGCCGCCGTGGCAGCGGCGAGGAGGGCGGACGCCTTTGGGTGGCGCGGCAGCGTCGCGCGCTGGAAGGCGTCCCACGTCACGATGAGGAGCGAGTCGGGGTCCACCTCCTTGCGCAGCGTGTCGTAGTCCGGCAGCACGCCGCTGTACTCTGGCGGGAGGGAGGAGACGAGCGGGCGCAGCGCCTCGATCGAGACGAAGCCTTGCCTGAGGATGTGTCGTGGACGCGTCGTGGACGCGTCGTGGACGCGCCTCCCCCCTCGCCGACGGGGCGGGCAAGCAGCTCGCACCCGTCCCCGTCGAACTCTGCGAACCGGCGCTGCAGCTCCTCTTCGAGCGCCTGCAAGGTCCAAGGCACGAGGCAGCGCTGGGGCCTCCGCGGCGGTGGGCGCGGCCAAGGGCGGCAGGGCGCGCCTCGAGTGCGGACGGCGCGGCGGCGGAGGCCGAGGTGGCAAAGAGGATGGAGTAGTGCGTCTGTGACGCGACCACCCAGATCGGGCTCGAGGGGCACTTGAGCCGCGACCCAACCTGCGCGGGGGAAAGGCAGAGCATGTCGGCAGGAGGGCAGGGCGGGACGGACGGACGGACGGACGGACGGAGGGACGGGGGTGAGACGGACGGACGGACGGACGGGGGTGGGAAGGACGGACGGACGGGGGTGGGACAGACGGAGGGACGGGGGTGGGAAGGTGGCGCGACCTCGACGTAGCGCAGCGCCTCTAGCTCAGAGAGAAGGCCGACGGGCGGCGTCGCGCGGATGCCGCGCAGCACGAAGCCGCCGCCGAGGTTCCTCTCTCCGTCGAATAGGTGGGCGACCTACGGCGGCTCCGCAGGCGGGTCCGGGAGACAGGCTCCGCCCCCCGGGCTCCTCTCTCCGTTCCAAGAGGCGCTGCGCCGCTGCGCCGGTCAGCATCAGGCTGAGAGCCTCCTGCGGCGCGGTGGTTGGGGCTAGGGTGGGGGGTGTCGGGTGGGGGGTACCGGTAGCGGCTTGGGCTCGGGCGGAGAGCCTCCTGCGGCGGATGGGGTTCGGGCGGGGCTCTCGGCTTCCGGCTCGCGTTTCGGGAGCGGCAAAAGGGTCAAGCCAGTCAGAGGCAGCCGCGGGGACTGCGCGGGTTTCGGGTCTAGGCGGCGTCCTGCGCGCAATGGCCAAAGGTCGGGTCGAGCAGCGGCGCCTCGCCGTCGTCGCGCTCCGCCGCCACCAGAGCCAGCCCGCGCGTGAGCAAGACCGAGCAGAGGAAGCCGAGCGCACCTGCAAGGGGGCGGCACAACCCAAGTGTGAGCCGCGCTGACCTCTCCGGACCGGCAAGCCCACGCCGCCGCCAGACGCACCGCTCCCGCCCCGCAGCCGAGACGCGCGCGCGGAGAGCAGCGCCCGCGTCTCCTCCCAGCTCCGCGCCTCCGCCGCCGCGCCCGCGATGGCACCGACCGCTTCGTGCAGCGGCGGCGGGTCTGCAGCCTCTGAAGCAGCCTCTGCCGCCTCCTCCGCCAGCGCCACGACGGAGACGCCTCGCGGCGGCGGCACGCCCTCGGCGCCGCTGGGCGCGACGGCGGCCTGCACGGAGGGAGGCGGGGAGGGAGGTGGAGAGGGAGGAGGAGAGGGGAGGTGGGGAGGGAGGGGCTAGAGAAGAGGTGGGGACGGACGAAGGGGTCGGTGTAATCGCGGGCGCGGCGGCGGAGGCGTGGAGATGGGAGGAGCCTGGATCGCCACCAAATATCTGTGAGCCCGCAGGGCAGCGCCTCGGCCGCCGCCTCGGACGGCGCCGCCAGAGCCTCCTCGCTCGCCTCTCCGAGCCACGACTGCGCGCCCTGCAGCTTGCGCGCGCGCGGCTCCGGGTCAAAGAGCAGCCGGCGCAGCGTGAAGGCCTGGAGACGGGCGCGAAATCTGGCTGAGGGTGTGGGTACGTGCGAGGGGCTTTGGGGACCGAGGCACGGCCGGGGATATACTCGCGCCTGCGCCGCGGCGAGCACCGCACACGGCCCGCCTTGGTTCTGCGCGAGGCCGGCCGTGAAGGCGGGTGCGTCGCCGTCCCCGGAGGCGGCCGGCGCCGCAGCAAAACTGATGCCCTGCCCGAGCCACTGCTGCGCAACGGCAGGAGACGTCTCGCCAAATATGACGGCGAGCAGCGCCGCCGTCGCCGAGTCGGCAGCCCCACCACCGACGGCACAGCCGCCGCTCGCGCTCTCTGTTGCGAGAGAGAGCGCGAGCGCACGACGGAGCTCGTCGTCGTCGTCCTGCCTCGGCGACTGCTGCTGGAGGGAGAGCGCGAGCGCCGCCTCCAGCTCCTCCTGCTCTGTCCGCCGCGCCGTCGTCATCTCGAAACACAGTGGAAAGCGGTGCGACGAAAGAGAATTTCACCTGCGCTCCTCCTCCTCCTCCTCCTCCTCCTCCTCCTCCTCCTCCTCCTCCTCCTCCTCCTCCTCCTCCTCTGTACATCCTCCTCCTCCTCCTCCTCCTCCTCCTCCTCCTCCTCCTCCTCCTCCTCCTCCTCCTTCCTCGTCCTCCTCCTCGTCCTCCTCGTCCTCCTCGTCCTCGTCCTCGTCCTCGTCCACGTCCTCCTCCTCCTCCTCCTCCTCCTCCTCCTGTATGTATGTATGTAGGAAGGTGAAGAACAGCCAGGCTCGGACTGGACACCAACGCGGTATGGGTGGACGCTGGACAGACAGATGATGACGACACGCACGAGCGACACACAGACACAAAACAAGCTCACAAGACACACAGCCAGCTGGCTGCCACACACCCTGAGTTGGCGTACACATAACTCAGGTCCAAATTCTTCCTGTCGCCCCCCCCTTTATCCAAGGTGCAAACTCCTTCTCCTGTATGTATGTATGTAGGAAGGTGAAGAACAGCCAGGCTCGGACTGGACACCAACGCGGTATGGGTGGACGCTGGACAGACAGATGATGACGACACGCACGAGTGAGACACAGACACAAAACAAGCTCACAAGACACACAGCCAGCTGGCTGCCACACACCCTGAGTTGGCGTACACATAACTCAGGTCCAAATTCTTCCTGTCGCCCCCCCCTTTATCCAAGGTGCAAAGCGATACTCCTAAATCAAAAAATAAAAAGAAATTCGCCGCGGAGGGCGCGCGCGCACGGCAGCCTGCCCACGGCCCGGCCGCTCATCGTGATCATGCTCGCCACAATCCTCCGCGAGATTGACGCCGGCATCGCCATCTTCATCGCCGTCGCTACAGCCATCCTGCTCAAGGAGTGCGCCGAGGCGGTCGCGGGCAGCGCTGGCGCGGGGGACCGTGGCTCGCTCGGAATTGCCGCGCTGCTGCTGGTGTCGTCCGCAGGCCGGATATCGGCGCGCCGCGCCGCGCGCGCTGCGACGCCAAAGCCCGTGCTTGCGGTCGACCTCGACGAGGTGTGCTGCGGCTATCGGTAAAACAAAGGCTTCGCTCGCGCGGGAGACGGCGCGTTTAGCCGCGAACGGGGCCATGCCAGACGAGTCGCCTGCGGCTGGGACGCCAGCCGAGACGGGTGCGGCGGCGGCGCCCGCGGTGGCGGCGCCCGGGACGGCAGCGCCGGCGAACGCGCCCGGGACAGACAGAGGGTAACGGGTATTTTTTCACTTCGCTGCGCGGCCTGGGAAATAGGTAGGTAGGTGGGGCACGGAGCCTGGCGGTTGGCGCCCGCAATAGGTAGGTAGGAAGGGCGTTTTGGTGCGAGTCATGGTCAACAGACCCCCTGTCTGGGTAGGAG